AAAAAAAAAAAAAAAAACGATTTGAAATAAAAAATGAATGCTTACTCAGTTTCCAGAACTTCATCACACAGAATGTTCAAGAGCTTAAGCTTTTCTGAAGCTTTTAAAGTCGCATAATCAGATGCTTTGTTGAAAGAATCCAGTCCCAGCGCTTTAAGCACACTTTTCGATTCGGACAAAAATTTCTTTAGCATATTAAACCATGAGTCATTTCCATCTGACGGATTCAGCTTTACACATCTACATCGACAAAGGATTTTTAGAAAATAAAAAATAAATAAATGGTAAAATGAAGTTCACTAGCCAAATCAATGGTAAGGAGTCGTACGTTTTTTCCCTATCCGACAGTACAATAGACAGCAGATTAATATGAAATTGGACTGCCAAAGAAAATTTTCCTCGTCGAGCTCGTCCATGCAACAAGTCTTGCAGAACATGTTCTGGTTGCCCCTTTTTCACATCAAGAATCTGTTAATCAGAAGACAGTAGAAAATTGAAGATTCAGATCAGATATGCTTGTTAGTAAGTATATGAAAGGTACAGATATGACAATCATTGATTGTAAAGAGTATTTTTATGCAGAATTGTGTCTATCTCTACATTACATTAACTACACAGCTAGGTACGAACAAAAACGGATGTTTGAAATCACTTAACAAATGCATTTTACGTTTGCTGGTTAAAGAAAATAAATAAACAAAAACTAAGACTTCCGTGTTTGCCAATAATGTTTTCAATTCTGCTTCTAATTTGACTATCACACACAAATAAAGCACTCACTAGCTCTCAACTACACATTCCATCCCAACTAAACTAATTATGAATTTCAATTTGTAAACGCTACCAAATTCTGATCCTCAACCCCTTATGCTCTGCAGCAGGGCAGCAACAGAGGTACCTCTCCTAACATCAAAGTGTTTTCAAACACCCAACACTTAAGAACCAAAACAGGAAATTGTACAGAATTGCAAATGCAATTGAATATACTAACACAAGAAAATCAACTTTGACTTCAAATTTGCTCAAGTGTATCATTTCACGTATCTCGATTTGATAGAGGGTGACAATATAGAGCAATACTATAAAGATGCAGTTCCAAAAGGATAAAGATAAAACCATGAGCAAATACAGTATTAGAAAGAAACAAAAGAGAAAGAAAAGATAAAAAGAAACAATGAAAATCACTTGCCTTGCCAAAAACAGCACAGAATTCTAAGAACTGCAAGGCGCTGCCAACATCTTCTGTTTGTATATCAATTCCGGCGACACTGTTCAACTCTATCCCTAGAGGGAAATGAATGTTCACTCGCCAATCTGCAAATTGGCACTTTTTATTAATCATATCAGAATCTTTTTCAGTAACAATTTCATTATCCTCGACATTTATGCCTAGACCGACTGCATTTTTTAGATGGGCAAGTTACTGCAAACTTTCAAGTTTCTAGGGCTTGCCCTCCTTGCTGAGGTGACATCATTTTTCTTGCTGCTATCATTTTCTAACTTATCCTTCCTCAATCTTTTGGCTTCTTATTCTCATCATGTACACTAGTCTCCTTGATTTCTTTTTTATCTTCCTCAATACTCATCTCTTCTGATCTATCACTCTTCTTTTTCTTTGTCATTACCTTGGAGCCAGATGATCCAATTTCCTAAGTTCTAGACTCCTTACCAGACTCAAGTACTTCCTGTTTCGATTCTATTTTATCAGGGCTTTGGCTAATTATGTTCATAGTTGCATTATCTATCATACCTCCCTTTTGAATCTCCCTAACTTTCTTGGACTTCTTGTCGATATGATTCGGTAGATTCACATCTATATTTCCGTCAAATGAATTTTCTTTCCCTCGTTTTCCCAGTGAAGAGACAACCACCTGTAAATTGGAAACCCCATGTATAAGAGAAAATGAAAAAACAAGACAGGAATAGACCACAACTTTGGAAGGACTAGGGTGTGTTTTCTTTCATAAAAGCTGGTGGTGGGCTTTCCGTCTAAATGTTTGTAAGCATTCCTCTAGTCCGGTAGAATGCCTATGCATACTAATGGAGTCATGGGTGTAAATGTAAACCGGAAAAAAGAAAAGATATATATATATAATATATATATAATATATATATATTATATAATATAATATATATATATACATATATCAACAACTCAGGAAATAAGTACAATACATTCTCTGTGGGAATAATTAGGCCTACAGCGACCAATAAAATTGTGACAAAAAAACTCACTCTCCTTAGCATCTGATATTATTCACCAAATATTAACCAGGAGCAATGTTAACCTGCTTATATAACCATAATAATGGGTTTCGGCAACTGATAGTGACCAATTACTAACTCAGTCCATATACGAAAGGGTGCATCTAACCACTCCCACCATATTACTATTTGAACTCAATTGCTTTATATGCCTACACATACCTTTTTTCATAGAGATGAATATTGCTAGTCATACTCATTTCGAATTGTCCCAATGCAGTTACCCTCTTTACTTCAAAACAAGGAACAATAGTTGCTAGTACACACAAAAGAAAATGGTTATCAACAGCTATAACATTGGATCCACTGTCACCTCCATAAACCCTAGATTAATCAACCATCAAGGCCTTTGTTCTGGCAGTATTGCTGCTCAGTAATCTGTGTGTCCACGTCTATCTGTGCGAGTATGATGTGAGTGTGTGTTTGTATGAGTTAATGTCTGTGAGTATAAGTTTTAGTGCATGGAGGGGGGTGTGTCTATGTGGTCACTGCCATTGTGAGTATGAGTGTTACGTGTGTGGGTGTGTGTGTGTGCACATGCATCTGATTGTGTGTGGTTTGCTGAGAAAGAAAGAGGAAATAAGATGAGCATGTAATTTAAACAAGAATTAGTCATAATTTAACTTAGGTAATTAAAATCAGAATAAAGTGTGTTCAAATAGTTTGGGTGTGAATAGTCGTACACAGTGGGACACCTAATGGTAGGGCAACATACTCTTTTCCAATAGATATGTACTTCATAGTTAAATATCATACTTCATAAAAACAACATAAATAAAAAGTGTATGACAGGTCGACTCGCCTGACCATTAAGTTCGCCTCAAAACAGAATTTCTGAAACTTGAATAATATAGCATCCATAAATGACAGGTAATTAAACAGCCAAGTTAATGAAATACTTGTATAACCACTAACACAAACACAATGAAATGATAAACAATTTTCTTGGAACTACCTCCGCATTACTTAAGTGTGTTGCTCCCATAAGCAGCATCTCTGAAACTGATGAAAATCCCGCTGACTTGGCTGTATTGGTAAGTAAACCAGTGGGTTGCTGACCTCTTCTTTTCCTGATCAATTCAAAATTATAATGTCAGGTAAACCAAAAAAAAAAAAAAAAAAAAAAAAAAAAAAAAAAAAAAAAAAAAACAATTTAAATAACTCAGGAAACTCACATGCAAATACTGCAGTTGCATATGCCTCTGCACTTAGGACAACTCCACACCTTCAGGGCAGCTACTTCTTCTGCCTTCTCACCATACCTGTGTCCAAAATTATACGGAAAGAAGGATAGAGATAAAATCAATTATGCATAAGACTGTGAGCTTTCAAAATGATGAAATTTGGAGAACAGTTCAGATAACCTGTTCAAAAGGCACTTATAACAATACATAATGGTGCATTGCTTGTTATTCTTCAGATTCTTGCAAGCTGCCACAAAATCCATGGTTTTTTGACGGCACTACCAGATATATTTATAATGTGAGAATTAGTCAAAATGCTGATTTTTAATAACAACCATTCTTGCAATAAAATACATCAGGAATATTCTGAAGCATGGCAACAAAAACCTAATACACTGACGGTAACTGAAACCAGCTTAACAATCTTTTGTTTTCCTTTCTTTTTTGGTTTTTACTCAGAATTTATCAACAACAAACATGAAAACAATGAATGTATAGTACAGCATCCTGGACATAAACAGATAACGATGTAATGTGTTTTGCAACAAGTGAAACTTTCAAACGACTGTTCCGCACCACCACGGGTGCCTCTGAATGCATTAAAGAAGTTTCACTCTTCCACATTCAAATGTCAGAAAATAAACAAAATGAACAATATGACAAGAAAGTGAAAATCAGCACGTAGACATTTCCTACACAATCGCCTTTTGTTTCGACTTCACATATCTTATTCAGATATTTCTTGGTGATTCACTTGCTACTATTGCTTCCATATTATATATCACAACTTGTGTATGTCCAGACTTTTCAAAACATAAACATCACATTCATCAGTCATCACTAGAAAAGTAAACAATACATTAGAACAAAAAAAAAATTACTTGCATGCAGCCCATTCACTTACAAAGAACATATATATAACCAATGTAGTTTACAGAAGAAACTTTTAAGTATAAAAGAGCTAACATATCAACTAAATATCAATAAAAAAATTAGGGGTTCTCTTGGAATACCTGATGGCAACATTTTCCATTGACGGAATCATAAATCCGGCCACCGACAACCCGGATCTCCGGGGGTTTGTTACTCCTCTTTGCAGGCGAAGAAGAATCACCATTTTCCTGAAGCTTGCTTCCTTTCTTCTTTGTGCTCGTAACTCTCTCCTCCTTCTCAGATGCACTCCGATTGGAAATAGAAGTGGACCCCATCACCATTGTCACTCCGAGAGCCCTCCAATCGGCCGGGATAGGGTTTTCCACTATATAGATAGACGTGCTTTTATTATTATTTTTTTTTTCTTTCTTGTGGTTAAGAAGAAAACAGCGCTCGATTGAAATCTATGCTGAGAAGTTGAGGCGCCAAATGAAAGTTTTCTGCCATTGTTTTTCCAATGCTCTTCCCGCCATTGGCATCGCCAATTTCACTTGGTAGAAGTATATTTTGGTAGAAATTTTATTTGGTTATTAGCTTAAGAATGCGGGCTTAGAGCATCTCCAACTATGTTCTCTATCTATACAGTTTCTATAGTAAAATTCAGTGTTTTAAAAGTGTATAGCGTAATGCGTCGCATTTTAGTCTTTATACTGCGTAGCGTAAATAGCGCTGCGTGTTGCGTAAGCTATTTGGGTATTTTTTTTATAGACATATTAGGAATATATTTGCATATAATAAAATTGGATGGTTGATTACAAAAATTATTATAGTATTTGAATGACTTAAAAAATAACATCTAAGGATTATTTTTCACAAATATTTTATGTAAATATCATCATAATATAAATATTTAAATTATAAGTCAAATATACTAAAAATATAAATAAACAACGAAAATATAACGAGGTAAGTCATAGTATAATTAAGTATATGCATTTTAATTATTATTGTTTTATTTAACTACAACTTAATTCTAACCAAATATAAATTTCTTATTCTCTATTTAAATGTCAAATATCAAAAAATAAAATAATATAAAAAAAATGCACTGATAAATATTGCACTATTCAACTTAGGGTTTTGCATTTTTAAACTTTTAATTTGGAATCATTATCCAATTTTTTAGATTTTAGTTGTCATTTGTAAATATGACTATGATCCCTAAAAAATAAGAGGTTTTGAATATTTTATTGTTCAAATATCGTTGTAGAAATATAGCGCAATGTAACACAAAATAGCGTGAAATAACGCAAAATAGCGTAAGAAAGCGTGTTATTTCAACATTTTGCGTAAGTTGTTTGGGAAAAACGCTAAATATATAAGGCTGCGTCGCGTTTTTTCGAAAAAAAGCTATATAGCGAGCTATATAGCGAGCTATTTAAAACAGTGGTAAAATCTCACTAATTTTACAGCTTCAATAGTGCCACCAACTCCAACCTATTCCTTCTATAATTCCCCCCCTAAAAGAATATTCCAAGCATATTCTTTTCTAACTAGTACAACACCCGTGTATTACACGGGTGCTTGTTAAAACTTTATTTTTAAATTTTAAAATTACTGAGAAAAATATATTTAATTTAGTTTACTTTTTTACAAAAAAAATATATTACTATATATTTTAGAATGATATGTGTTACTTATGACTTACATGTGTTATATTATATTATTTTATATAACTTATATCATATAACTACTTCAAATATAAATATATTAGTTGATAAATAATTTTATTTTACTAATTAATATTAAAAATAATTTTATTATTGTTATAAAGATAAATATAAATTATTTTTTTAATACATACAATATCGATGTTAAATCGAAGCTCATCAAAAGAAGATTAATTTGATATAATACATATGTAAAACTAATAAAAAATATAAAAGTTATTAACTTTTAAAATATATATACAATCTATATCTATATATATATTAAAAGCTAACCTATTTACCAAAAATAGTAGCAAGAAAAGTCAACACACATTTAATGCATACTTTATTTGGAAATTTTTTACTATATGCATTAAATGCTTGCATATTTACATTTACTATCTAAATATGATCTTCAAGATATTTTTCTTAAATAATTTATGCAATTATTTTATTGATATCTATTATAATTAATATTTGTCGAGTAATATTTTTTAAACTTTATTTAATCATATAACACTAATATTTTTTAAAAAAATTAATATTATTTATTATTTAAAAAATAATAATCACATCATTAAATGATTTTATTGATGGTTATATAATAAAATTATAGTAGTATTAGTTATTTTTTAAAATTTCGACATGTTATTTATTTGTATATTATTGTTAACTATGATAGTGATTTTATCACTTTTTTTGTTATGTTTCAAAAATGAACTTATTGTAAAATATTTTTCTTTTGCATTGTATGTTAAATAAACTATAAAGCCTTAGGATGAAAATTAGAAAAAATCTCTTGATTATGTAAGGGATTATTTTTTGGCAATTGCTAAATCTTTTTTTTTAAAAAAAAAAGAATTATTATGAGAAAATTGAATTCTAAAAAACATGTGTGTGTATTTTGTAAACATTTATACTCAAATGTTTATTTTGAATTTCATTACATTACATAAAGAAGACTACTTCTATAACTCTTATAAATAATAATAATTACATTATAAGACTGTAAATTTTATAATAAAATAATAATTGAGTATTATATGGTGAACAATAATTAATAATTTTTTTTTCCTATATCAATGAATAAATATGTATGCTAAAATCAAATAAATATTAGTATGACGTGTTAGCGGAATTATATATTAATTAACATGTTAATTTTTTGGCTTAAATAAACGCCACTTATTAAAAGATGTGAAATATGGATGATCCAGGCCTATTGTTTTTTTGTCTAGACGTACAAGTCCTATAAAAATAATTGATTTATTATATGTATCACGTGCATCGTACGGGGTATGCACTAATAAATGACCTTAAAATTGTGCACCCGTGCATCACCCGTAATCACATTTTGGCCTATTACATGTCACGTACTATATATATCCCGTACATTTTTTTTATTCATTCATATAATTATAAGAATGGATAAATTACCTTAAAATTGTGCACCCCGTGCATCGCACGGGCTCTGTACTAGTATATGTTAAAAGCCAACCTATTTACCAAAAACAGTAGCAAGAAAAGTCAACACACATTTAATGCATACTTTATTTGGAAATTTTTTAATATATGCATTAAATGCTTGCATATTTACATATACTATCCAAATATGATCTTAAAGATTTTTTCCTTAAATAATTTATGCAATGATTTTACTGATATTCATTATAATTAATATTTGTCAAGTAATATTTTTTAACCTTTATTTAATTATATAACACTAATATTTTTTAAAAAATTAATATTATTTATTATTTAGAAGATAATGATCACATCATTAAATGATTTTATTGATGGTTAGATAATAAAATTATATTAGTTATTCTTTAAAATTTTGACATGTTATTTATTTGTATATTATTGCTAACTATGATAGTGTTTTTATCACTTTTTTTTGTTATATTTAAAAAATGAACTTATTGTAAAATATATTTCTATTGCATAGTATGTTAAATAAACTATAAAGTCTTAGGATGAAAATTAGAAAAAAAAAATCTCTTGATTATGTAAGGGATTTATTTTTGGCAATTGCTAAATCATTTTTTTTTTTAAAGAATTATTATGAGAAAATTGAATTCTAAAAAACATGTTTGTGTATTTTGTAAACATTTATACTCAAAATTTTATTTTGAATTTTATTACATAAAGAAGACTACTTCTATAATTTTTATAAATAATAATAATTACATTATATGACTGTAAATTTTATAATAAAATAATAATTGAGTATTATATGGTGAACAATAATTAATAAAATTTTTATTTTTTCTTATATCAATGAATAAACATGTATTCTAAAATCAAATAAATATTAGTATGACGTGTCAGGGACAATCTTTATCCCACGTTGGTCTTTTTCTAAAGAAGTCTGGCTTTAGTCATGGTCAATTATATGTTGTTGTTTCGCGTGTGACTAATAGAAGGGGGTTGAAGATATTAGTTTGTGAGAATGAGGAGTTACCCGATAATCAAAGTCATAATGTTGTGTACAAGGAGGTCTTTACTAATATATGATTATTTCTTTTTTCAATACTATTTTATTGTACAATTTTCATGTGTATTGTACAACTTTTATTGAATATTGCATATTAAATTATAATACTCCTCAAATGAATATATCTCGTGTCTCGCACAGATCACGTACTATATATATCCCGTACATCTTTTTTATTCATTTATATAATTATAAGGCTGGATATATGGCCTTAAAATTGTGCACCCTGTGCATCGCACGGACTCTGTACTAGTTCAATAGTTATAATAAAAAATGATATTAAAATGCAATTAATACATGTAACATGACCATAAATAATCAACATATTTATGGTAATCCGAACCTAATTATTTTTGGTTTGGAATTAAATTAAAATTTACCCAAGCCTAATAACGAAGCATGTAATTTTGCCACATAGGATTTCGAAGCACCAGAAGCATCCACGTAGGCTCAGCACGTTCTGAATTAATATATAGGGGTGAGGGTGATTTTATTAGTTTATTAAATAATCTCTACAAATTACAATTTAATGCATTATGCTTGCTAAAATTTACATATCTATGAATATATATTAATTATTAATTAATAAGATTAATTAATAAATTTAAATCAAAATATTAAATACACTCTACATCATAAAACCACGTGGATTACATCACAAACATTAATTTAAAAAAAAAACATCAATACAAACATAAAGCATTCAATACAATAAGAACTACGAAAAACAAAATATAACACTAGTTATTGCCATGAGAATATTTTTCCAACAAATGTGCAACCAATGCATTACGAAGTTCATAGTGGGCATGCTTATCATTGATTCGTTTGTGTCGAGCAAGAAATTGTTGAAAAGAGACGTGATCTCGCAGTGCTGGAGTAACCGTAGGAGCACCAAATTGAACATCACTTCTAATTGGCGCACTAAGATCACGTTGACACGTTGCTCTTCGACATTCATATTGTGCAAAATAATACATGCTTTCCTTATATCATTAAGCACCTCTTTTTTCCAAAAACGAACAGGACCCGTGGCGATTGCAAACCTTTTTTGCAGAACTCCAAATGCACGTTCAACATATTTTCTACATGCTTCTTGTCTCATTTTAAAGTATCCCTCCATTGGATTTGATGG